TGGAGGTGGAGGTGGGGGGGGTGGGGGGGGGGGGGGGGGGGGGGGGTGATTATAATCAATATTTGGAATTAGACAAGCAAGAATTAAATGGAAAATTGTATAATTACTTGCCCCTTGAGTGTCATTCAATGAAATGCCACTAGTTTTAGAGTTGATATGGATTGACACTTGGAACACATCCCATATTATCTATTTTATTTGTAAATGTCTCGTAAAGTTAGTTTAAAATCCATTAATACCACCGCTATATATAAACATTCTCGATATCGAACCAACATTAGTTACCATTTAACCCGTGCGTGTATTTATCTACAAAACACACAAGGCAAGGAAAAAAATCAAACTATGTAATTTAATGTTACACGTGTGGCATGGTGTTAAGCACATATTAATTGAATCATGAAATAGGTTTCCTAATAATTGTGTTGCCTTTATTACATCCCCAACGTATGAAGTTGTTTAGCTTTTACTATAGCTAATTTTTATTTTATTTTATGTTTTTAAAAGTTATTCACTAAACTATTTTTTAGACTCTACATCACATTAAATTATCGAAAATGTTATCATGATTAGCAGAAAATTCACCTTATACGGTTACATTGATGATATCATTGGTTTAATGGCTTTGATGAAATGTAATTGTTGGAAGTTCACCCAAAAATAGCCCGTCGGTCCATATCGTTTTTAGCATGCTAAAAAACACAATAAGCATGACTTGACACACATTTGCCTTATTAAAAAGTAAAATTAGTGCGAAAATGTCGAGCCATTTTATCATATCAGTAAGGGTAGCAAAAGAGTCGAGTCGCGGTCGGCTTGACTCATTCCCACTAGGTCCATGAATGACTTGGATATTTTTTTGAGATGAACCATGCACTACAATAAAATGAACTTTTTAAAGCATTCGTTTACGGCGTACAAAAAGGACATACCGTAAAAATAGACTATTTTAATGACATGCGATAATGTATGTCGTGAATGATCAATTATGTAACGTATTTATCTCAATGCATTCTTTGCACACCTAAAAAGCTTAATATTTACGGCTTACATTCAAGACAAGTTGTCTTTTTAAAAAATTAGACCTATTATTCTTTATGTTATGCAAACGCATACCATAAATGATTCGGTAACAGTCTGCGTCTTTTTTTTCCTTTTTTTTTTTTAAATATATTTTACAGCATGCATCTGTAAAAGGCAAACTCTGTTGTAGTGATAGATTGAGCTACACAATTAATTTTTTTTTTTTTTTCACGAGTTAGCTTGTGGATTAGGGCTCATAATTTATTAATTCCTTCTAAAAAAAATACAAATCAAATCACAAGTTTGTGGTCGAATCGACTTCATCTATGAGGCCCACAAGCCAAAGCATCAAACTGATCCCGGATTCATAAGTTTGTGGACGAGTGGGCTCAATATATGAAGCCCACAAGCCAAAGTGTTGAATTGGGCTCAGATTGTGGACACAAGCTGAGCTCGGCTTGTGCATGAAACAAATTGAGGCCATGAGTCTAAGAGTTGACCTAAAGCTTATTTGGGAGTTATTTTTTTTTCTAAAAATTTGATTTTTTGACCGTTATTTCACTATTTCATTCGTTATATTTGACTTTTTCTCTCACAGGTGGATCCCACTTTTCTTCTAATTGTCAAAAAATCAATTCTCAAAATCACTCCTAAACAGACTATTGTAATCCTATCTAATCCAACTTGAAACGTTGTCACCTCTACATAGCTGGAGACACGTGTAGACAAAGTGAACATTAACATAAATAAAAGTGGTCCCCTCTTCCTGTGTTATTTTACAGTAAAGTGAAATCTTTTTCAAATTCAAAATGATATAAAATCACAACGTTTTATACATAAATGGAAGGATAGTAATCTAAAGTTAAGACCAAACTGCCTAATGCCCATACTTGGAAGAAAAAAATAATTGAATGACCACCATCTTAATTAAATTTCATATCTTTAAGTAAGATTTTGACCCAACAAAAACTTAACAGATACTTAAATCGTCTCTCCATGTAATTTATAAGTAGTTTATAAGGATATAAGTTTTAGGAGCGGGGCGGTGGGAATCCTTAAAGTTGGGATTCAACCTTTATAAGTAGATTATAAGGACATAAGTTCTATCTCAAGATTCCAGAATGTAGTTAAGACACAAACATCGGAAAATGCAGCTTATATTTTAATTGGAGATTTATTTTTATTTACATCTCCATTGTCCAGTTGCACTGCCGGACAATTCATACACAAACCAGTAATAAAGGTCTATATCATATACTTCCACAGATTTATATACAGCTCTATTACATATTCACTTAAAACCAGAAATGTTCAGTAAACAAGATGCGCCGCCAATGAAGCGGCTGCCTCGGAATAGGCGTAACCCAATTTTTACCATCAGCTACACCACAGCCAGTGATGGTGGCGCCACTCCTATAATCCAATGTCTCGTCGTTGTAAATGTCACACCATTTTTTCACTAGCATTTTCATATCTTCTCTGTCCATGTTCTCTTCTTTACCAGTGTACTTCCACGGCTTCGATCCAGCCACACAGTAGTGCACCACTTTCACCTTCTCCAGCTCGACCAGCTCAGGGTGGCGCCACAGCATTGCCACCAGTAGATTGTAAACCGGCGGTAATGGCGTTAAAACATCTCTAAAAAACATGTTCAGAAAGTCCTGCAAGTTTAGCCATCAACAGAGAGAAATCAGCGAAATGGCCTGAAAATGCCCTGAAATTTTACACCAGCTGAGCACGACGACGCAATTTCGATTTTCAAAATGAATATTACCCGCTGCATATAAAAATATAAAAATTCAGTTTTACCTGCTCTGCAAATGGGGATGGCGGGGTGATTTTCAGAGTGGTCAAGAGATCGCGATATGTAGAGATACTAGGCTCGAACATAAACATGCCGCCATTGAAATAGAACGGTGGCTCACGGCCAAGCTCCGCCGGCCACTGGACATTCTGTGAGCACGGCGCACCATCCATCTGACACAAGCAATCCACAACGCCGTAGAAGCCACCGTTCGGCGAGTCAAAGAGGTGGTCTATGTTATCAAACACTTGAATGTCTGCATCCAGGTATATCAATTTTCTGTACTCCACAAACTACACTCGAGATCAAAATAAATGTATTAAATCAATTATTGAAGAAAACATTTGTTCTTATCCTTAATTTTCTGGACATGCAGGGTACGGTCAAGTCTTGAAATATCATCATATTCATGCAAAATTAATTTGAAGTTTAAAACAGAATTATTTCTACTTGGAATCTTCAAAGAATCAAACCATAACAGCAAAAAACGGAAAACAATTGAAAAATAAATAAATAAATAAATAAATAAAATATATATATATATATATATATATATCTACAAAATTAAATAAATTATAATTTTTAATTACAGCACACTTATTAATAGTTAATATAGCCCCCATTTCACCCCATTATTTCAAATTATAATTCTTCCCCTCGTATTTTTAACCACACATTTTTTCATAAAATAATATTAAAATTGAATCGAAAAAATTTCCACCTTTGTTAACCCCAGATTTTCCAAATATTATTAAAATTGAAAAAAATAATAAAAAGAAAATTTAAATTAGTCTAGAATCGTGTGCGCGGAACAAAGGGTGTTTTAGAATTTTCTGTGCATCC